CTTTAAGACTTAATGTTTTGTGATATTGAACTATTGATTTTTATACCTTCTGAACTTGGATTTAAAACTCAAGGGATGTCTGAGTAAAGTGTTCTTTGTTGTACTGGGCAAGTAATGTAGCAAACGTAGAGTTTCTGAGTTGACACTTAAAAGTTACTGTGCTATTTAATTACTTTATCCTAAGTAGGGGTATTCTCACTGAGTCCAGTTTTTCTAGTATTGTGTTGCTGACTGTAATGAGGTTAAACTGGCTTTGTAAAATCCCTCCATACGGAGCTGTTATCCAGCTGTGGTACTGTAGAACATTTTTATGCTTCTTTTGCTTGTCACTTTAGCACTTTAAAGTTTTTCTGTCTTAGCATTGTAAAGCTTGTTAGTTACACTGAGCAGCGTCAGGCTTCTGAAATGTGACAGTCATATAGTTTGTGAAGTGTGATGTTCAAACTAGCAGTACGGTCTAAATATTAACTGAAACCTTTCAATTTTCTTTTAGAAACATAAAGAGTGACCGAGTAATGCCAGAGGAAATAGCTTGTTACTATAAACACTACGTTAAAGTAATGGGCCTCCAAAAGAATTTCAGAGATAATGTTTACATAACATCAGTATCCAGACTTTATCGAGGATCGGATGATGAAGATGAAAGTCAGCTACATGAAAATATTTCAACGCAGCATTTGCAAATGGAAATGGAAGATGGACAGAAATCACTAGTTAAGAGAAACTGGGAAGTCAGAGGTTATCAGAGGGCAACAGATGGTTCTCATGTGCCCTTCTGCCTCTTTGCTGAGAACGTGGCTCTTGCAACTGGAACCTTTGATTCTCCTGGCCGACTACAAGTTGAGGGAGAAGACTTTCCTTTTGTGCTTCATTCCATGTCTGACTTTGGGGCTGCTATAAGCAAAGGCAAATTACGTGGGAAAGCAGACCCTGTATTAATTGTGGGTGCTGGACTTACAGCAGCTGATGCAGTACTGTGTGCCTACAACAACAACATCCCAGTAATCCATGTGTTTCGTAGAAGAGTTACTGATACAAGTCTAATTTTCAAACAGTTACCTAAAACGCTTTATCCTGAATACCACAAAGTCTATCATATGATGTGTACTCAGTCACATACTGTAGATTCTAGTCTACGTTCTGCTTACACTAGTTTCCCTGAACACAACGTACTGTCCTTCAAGCCTGAAATGAAATGTGTTCTTCAGAGCGCCTCTGGACTGAAGAAAATTTTGAAGTTTTCTGTAGCCTTAGTTCTGATAGGTTCTCACCCAAATCTTTTCTTTCTAAAGGACCAAGGACATGGCATAGGGCATCACTCAAATCAGCCAATCACATGCAAGGGGAATCCTATTGAGATTGATCCATATACTTACGAGTGCACTAAAGAAGCTAACCTCTTTGCTTTAGGTCCTCTGGTTGGAGACAATTTTGTACGGTTTTTGAAAGGAGGTGCATTGGGCATTACACGATGTTTGGCAATAAGACAAAAGAAGAAACATGAACTGATTGAAAGCAGGGATGGAGGAGGTGATGATGGGGTACCTTAAGTGAGACATTAGAAACTGTCACATACGGAATTACAGATGTAGTCTAACAGTCCTCACAACAAAAGTCATTAGCAGTCACATTTTTGTTATGTACAAGTAACCTGCACTTGTATTGCTTGGTAAAGGATGCTGTTACTACAATGCTTCACCTTTTCAAAATACAAAAATTGGTCTGCTATTGCAACTGATCTTTACTCAACTGGAATGGCTTCCAGATAAAACAGAAAATGAGACTAACTTTTATTGACCTGCCTGTCGTCTCTTGCTCAGCTAAAAGAGCATACTCCCTCTGGGAAAAACAATGCCTGCCAGAGTGGCTTTACGTTTTAGTGTCAAACTCCACACAATTTTCTTATCTTGAAATTCAGCTAACTTCTATCTAACTTCAGAAGGCTCTTTAAGTATAAAATGTGTCTTGGTCCCAAAGAAAATTTAGAGCCTTCTGTCTGAAACAAGGATTTTATTTATTTGCCATAGTAATGCAGTAATACTTTGAGCAGTTAGTCAATGGTCTTTAGTATAAGGAGGATTTCTGTAAGCAGAGGCATGTTACTCAACAGTTATAAATCATTCTACTTGATAATTGGAATAAAAGAATGAGCTTTCCCCTTTAATGCATGATTTGACAATCCACTAATGGTTTTTTCAATGGTATGTCAAGAGTTGGGTAAGTGCAGAGAGACCATAACAGGAGATGTGCTCCCCTGCAGTGATATGTACATTCTGAGAATACTGATTAACGTAAACAATAAAGTGCTGATGTAAGTGCTCTTATTACAGTGTCAGTATACTGAATATCCAGTGTTCTACGGAAAAAAATGTTGGAAAGACAAGTACAAAAAAACTTATAAGCAATCTTTTCAGCTCATAATTTAGGAAGACTGAAGGAGACCACCTGACTGATAAACGATAGATATTCTCATCTTCCATTTGACCAAGCATTGGTTATTTCTGCTTTTTTTTCTAGAGCAAGATATAACATTAAAACTAGATTAGTTTGCAGTTTTTGAGACATTATGAAAGAGGATTGAATCTTACAACCAGCTTAAGAAAAACAACGTAGTTCCTATAAAATCTTTTATGGCTTGTGATAACAGAAAAACTTAACTTGTACCTACGTCTGAACTTGAGCTTGAGTTTCACATTTTTGCTCCGTAAGGTAAGATCTGGGATTCATTTGCTGGGTTTAAGCATAGTTTATTTATCTAAACATACTGTAGGATTACTCACTGTAGTGAGGTAAGCAACACCTGATTAGGAAGCGGTTAGGGTATCTTTTAGAACTCTCAGTGGATAAGTGCTTGGTTTTGATTGATTCACTACCGAACACTTTAATTTAGTGTGAAGGAATAGATGTTATCCAATTAAATTCTGTGTTTGGTTTTTTTTTGTTGTTGTTGTTGTTGCTGGAGAATGTCATGTTAGATTAAGGTATTGTATTTGCATGATTAAAATCTCCGTATTAGACCTTGAGCAGATTATAAAAAGGAAATTAGGCTTAGGCTTAGACTTTGTGAAACTGCTAGTGCATGCTGGTATCCCAGCTGTCTAACGTTCGTAATTTGTAGAGATACCTTTATGCTGTACCTGTCTCTTTCTGTGCCAACTGCAGGTTTTTAAGCATCTCAGTATGTTACTTAGACTTTGGACGTACAAGTTAGAGGTGGAAAGCTAAAGGGTTAAAATGACATCATTTGCAGTGGAAGTCCAAAGCTTTCATTTCTTTCTCATGTATGAATGGATAAAATTACTTATAATTAGTTTAGAGCCAACTTAATTGCACAAATATAAATGGCAATTTTTATATTATGCATTGCCTACGTGGTTTGAATTGAACCATGCATTGTCAATAAGAAAGATGTTAACTTTTTATAGTTAGTGGTATTTGAGGTGATCTTAATTAGGCTGAGCTCTAGACTTACACCATCTCAGCTCAGTTACGAAGTAAATAATTTGCCTTTTTTAGCTGAAACAGTGTGTATATATAAATCTAACTTCAACCTGTGATGCATAATAATTTTAATTGAGAATTAGTGTCACATATGATCATAAAACTTCATTGCAATTACTGTATTGGGAATACGTCTGCACTGAGATTAAACTCCTTCATTTTTGTGTCAATATAAATGTCTGAACACAACATGCCATTCCAGTTTTATAGTATTTTTGTGTGTCACATCAAACTTCTAAAAAGCCAACAAAACAAAGGAAAACAAAGGAAAAAATTTGCTAAAACCCTCCCCCCCCCCCCCCACAAAAAGCAGAGCTCAAAACAACCAAACCTCCATCCTTAGCTGCTGCAACTACTTACACACCATATAGTCACTGTGATGACAAATTTGTAGCAGAGGGGGGTTGTTTTGGGTTTTTTTTTTTCCTATTCATTATAGTGGTTCTTTTACTGCAGCATTACTGCACCTTGAGTTTTAACTGATTTTTTTTTTCCTTCTACCATTCTTGCCAGCATGTTTGTAAGACAAAATTCTGATATGAGACGAGTTAGTTAGACAGAGCCATGTTCCCAGTTAAGCTGCCAATATAAAAATAATTTTTTAAAGTGAAGTTATACTGAAAAATTGTCCTTTTTCTTCTAGGAGTTGCTAGCTCTAAAGTTGCAGCTGGATTTTCTGACTTGTGGGTTTCTCATCTTCTTCACCTTCTGAGGGTTTTTTTCTCTCATCCTAGGTATTTTGAGAGCATAAAATTTTTATAAATTAGTAATTCAGTTAAAGCTATCCTAAATAATCTGAAGTATTATATAATAGTTATTACATTTATTATATATTAGATGCTGGCACTGAATAGTTGTTTTTGGAAATGCTTTGTTTCTCAGGTTTCAAAAAATACCATTTTGAATTTCCTTTAGGTTATATTTGTTCTCAAAAGGGAAACTGCTTCCTTCAGCTCATCTTTCAGTGAGAAAAATTTTGGTATAAGTCAATTGATTTTTACGTTCAAAAACAATGATTGCTGCTTAAGCTGCATTAATGATACACAGGCAAGAAAAATACAATTTTAAAGGAGTTGTATTTGGATTTCTAGAATTTTTAATACTATGTTAACCATAGTGTGTATCTTGTAATAGAGTAATGGGAAAATGTCTTTCATAGTTGGTTTTGGTTCTTTTTTTTAATGTTGACTCTATCTCCTAACCATATTATTGCTAAGATTATTTTAATGAGTCTCCAACTCTGTTGAATAGCGACTGAGCTTTGTTGTAGTTAGATCTCCCTAACAATCTGTCTAGTGTGTGATTATTTAACAATGGGCACTTTTTAAAGAAGGCACCTGACTGTGCAGTAATAACCAAAATAAGCTCCGTACTGTTTTCCATTAGATGATTGACTTCTCCTTAAAATGTTTTGAACAAAACAGCGGCTAAGATTTTTACTCTAGTGAGAAAATGCAGAAATCCTTTCTGCATCATAGGCTAAATCCGCAAAGAAATTTGTAACAACAAACAAGTCGAGAACAAAAACTTGTTTGTCTCTTAGGAAATGGCATTGCCCTGAGCTGAAATCCTGGGCTTGCTAGAGAATATATGGAAAGAGTTAGCATCGAAACAGTGCTTATACACTGAGTAAGGGACGTTGAAGTGCACCTTGCAGTTTTAGGTCCCTTGTCCTCAACTCTTAGGGAGTTTTTAAACAAAAAAAAAAAAAGAATTCTATAGGGTGATGGCTGCATAACGAAAAATACTAATCCTATAGGCTGTAGCTTCTTTCTGTAGCAGCTCAAGAGCTGTGAAAAAGAAGGCTAGACCTGGAAACCTAGAGTGTTTGTCCAAAGCTGGAGGAAATTAAATTAGGAACCAAGCTTTGAGGCAGGCTTGATTTGCACAAAGAGCCGTTAAGCCAGTTGAAGGAAAGAAAAGGAATTATCTATTGAAAGCAAGCTTTCATGAAGTAAAAGGGTGTAGAGTTTGCCAACTTCTGCTCGGTCATCGCTGATCTCATACAGGTGATGACCAGTGAGGACTGCCAGGAGGAGAGCAGAAATGAATGAGCAATAGTACCTGCAGAGCTGTAGGTGCTGAAATGAATCACTGCAGTGTTTCTAGGCTGAGTTTGGTCTCTCCTCCTCTTCTGTCGAGATCCACATACTGTAACTTTGGATTCATTCTCTGTGCTGGATTTGTTAGTCTGATGTGTTGCCTTTTTTTTTAATAAGGTATGAAATGGAGTTACACTGAAGTGCAACACAGGCCCATGAATTAGTAGTAATTGCATTTGCTCCAGAAGCAGTATAACTGGATTAATAAGATGGTGTGCTGACAGATGAGGCTTCGCTGGTTTGGTACAATACCGTGTTTTCCCCTTCTGAGAAACAAAATTGGTATTTTCACATAATAATGGAATCTGTGCTGTAACAGTGCTGGCTCAGAAGCATTTCTACACTGTGCAACAGGAAGCACAGCTATGCCTTAAAGGCTGCTGATTATTCGATTTTATTATCTTCTATACAGTAATAATTTCATTTTGAAAAAGTTACAGAAAAAAATGCTAAAGGTTTATACTATATATTCTAATTTAGATAATACTTTATAGTTCTGTCGTCATATTGGATTATTTTTTAAGGTGAGAGTAAGATTGAAGCACAGTACTTCAGCTGGTATGAGTTATGGTTGTTTTGGTTTTGTTTTTTTCCTCCTGCATCTTGGAAGAAAGCATATGTTTTGCTTTAAATAGCTATGATAGCTGATATTATTTAGCAGAAACAGGGAACTGTGAAATGCCCTTTGACAGAGAAAGGAAGGCTTTAGTGATATTAGGGATACAAAGTTGAAGGTAGGATTCTGAATTATAAATAGATACTTTTCTGAAAAAGACAACACTGTCTTTTGTGGAATGTGGTACATTTAGGGAGTTTGGACCTAGCTAATCTTTGAAGCTTGAATTACACTAGGAATTTTGAGGCCAGGGATGAATTTGGCATAAGGCACAAAATTAAGGATTATGGCACAAAACAAGTGTTTCAGTATAATTTTGTAATTGTAGTGAGGCTAAGCACTCTCTTAACAGTGGCTTTGTGTGTGCAGACACTATGTAACATTTCTGCTCTGGGGCTTTTCAGTTTATTAGCCTTACATTAAGCTTGTTCACATACTAGATGATTTTCTAGCAATGATAATTTTATAATTAATATAGGCCATACTAAGTCTGACTCTTAACCCAGCAATCATTAGTAATCATCAAAACACAGAAAAAATATATTTCATACTCAGCTCTCCTATACTTTTGAAACAATTAATTCTAGAGACTAAGTTCATACAAATTGCATTTTTTCCCCTCCATCTCTATGTTCTGAGATCACTGACGATGGGTAGGTATCAACCTACCCTGCCTTCAGTAAGCTAAAATTCAGCTTCATGTTCCTGGATACCTTCTACAGGTTTATATGCCAGCATAAAGAAAATCAAAAAAAAAAAAAAAGATTTGTTATCTCTTCTCAAAATATTCTGTAATCTTGGCATCTTTAGATTCTTTTTTTTTTTTTAAACTAGGTATATAAAGAAAAATAGTCATCCATAAATGTAAAGCTAGAGACAAGGATATTGAATAGAATTGGCATAGTTGTGAGGATGCATTGAATGCTCTGAAGAGAGCGGAATAATTTTTTTTTTTTTGTAAGTTTGGATTTAGGACCAGCTTCTGTATGAACAGTGAGGTATTCCTGTTCAAGAACTGATCCTGCTATCTTATGCCTATCTGGAAAATCTGGGAAGACAACGCTCTGGTTTTGCCCATTTTCTAGTATTCTGGGTGTGGAATTCCAGTTTAAAATGAGCTAAAGGTTTGTACGTATGGATGCAAGATATTATGAGATGCACTGCTTGGAGTTTGAGATACTATGAAAACACAACTTTCAGGTTTCATACCTCAGTGTTTCTGCTTCTGCTGAAGTCTGTGGGCCATACTCTTTTCTAGATGAGAACAACGTAAACATAGCTTTCAGAAAACATCTACTGTCAGCTGAAATATATCCTCCTTCTGAGCTGTAAGCAACTTGTGAGCAAAACCTCAGCTTTGATTAGATGATAAACCTGACCGAGGCTTGCATGCTAAGCTTGTTGAATTTCCTTATGTGAAGACTGATGACTGAGATGGAAGGCGAAAGGAATAAAACCAATTTCACTTAGATGTCAATTATTACAGTTTGGAGAAACACTCTGCAGGAGAGGGTAGGAGAGAAAACCTTGGATGGTGTCAAAGAGGGATTTAGAGAGCTGTAGTGAAAGAAAAATAAAGAAAAACCTGCTAAGTGTTTGGAATGGACCTGGTGCTGTAGCTGATGCTTGAGAAGGATTCGGATAGCCACAGCTGGAGCAGAATGATGCGTGTGGATTACTAAAGCAGGTGTCAAAGTTGTTGGGGGGGGGGGGGGAAGGAATGGTATGAACATGCTAGGCAAATCAGACTTACCGCACTCGAATGTGGTCATGGTGGTCATCAAAAAATTGTAAAAGAGGAGAAGTGAGGAGTGGCAGGGAAGATGGAATTCAGGTTTTGCCATCTTTGGCTTAGATTATAAGGAGATTAACAAAGAATGCATCAGAATTGGTAAATATGTGACTCCCGACACAGAGACGTGGCCAAAGGTGACAGTGGATAGATTCATGAAATAGAATAGACCAAGAGCAGAGCTAGTTGTATGGGGGAGAGAAAATACTAAGAGAAAGACATGGTAATCATGAGGACTGAGAAATCATCTGAAAAAACAGATGGATCATGGTAGAGCTGAAGCATGTGTGGAGGTTTGGGGGGTTAAGTCTGTAGCAAGCACTTTAGCTAGTGTGTCACTTAAGAACTGCTGTTGGGTGGTAAACATGGAATAGAGCCTATCGCACACTCAGGAATGGAGGTTAGTGAAATGGGTTTGGAGCGTTGGAGGAAGTCGATGAAAAAGAGGAAGCGGAGAAAAGTGCATTTTCAGAGTATAGGAATTAGCGCGATGAGACAGGAGAGGCCAGCCCTGCCAGCTACACTTCATCCTGAGAGAAGAGGGGGAGTCAGGATACGAATGTGAGTGGACAGAAGCAGAAAAACTTCAGCAGTGAAAAGGAAATACCTTGTTAGTCTTTCCAAAAAAGGCAGTGGCTTCCTGAAGTGATGTGGGAAAGAGAGGAAGTCTGCTGAAACTGTTGCAGTTAAACTGAGTTAAGCATGTTCCTGTGCAGATGCTGCACCCATCCTCTGTGTAAGTGGTGCATGAAGTAATTCAAATTCTGCTGCTTTTGTCTGTGTTCAGCTAAGCTGCTGAATGCAAGACTGTATTATAAAAGCCTTGCTAATAAAAAGTATATTTAGTTTATATATTGTGTGCATCTCCTTCCTGTGAGCAAAGACAACACACGGTATAAAAAGGCAACTCGCCCCCCCGCCCCCAACCCTCAAACGATCCTTTTGTTATGCAGACGAATGCAAGAAATGAGATCTGAAGCTAAGTTTCTGCTCAGATGTATTTTTAGATAAGGAGCATCATTTTGCAATGAGGTGCGGATGCTGCAGATCATGGTTTGAAGTAGATAAGGAAAAAGCTTAAATATCATGTGTATTACCATTTTTTGTTAACACTTCTAAAGAGAATCAACTCCATGCAAATTCTGTAAGAAAACTGGGACCCTGAATGTTGAAGTCATAGGGCACAAGCCACACACAATAAAAATGAAGCATATAGCAAAAGTTTAAAGTGCAGCATGCAAAGTTAATTTCTAGTATTCAGGAATTATTACCAAATAAGCCATTCGGCACGTACGTGTCATGCAGAGAAATAAGACAGAGGAAATAAAGCATACTAGTGAAAAATCTCTCCAGGAACACAACAGCCACCACAGTGGAGCAGGTAGTGTTGTTTTTTAATTACAGTATGCAAACAAGGAGAAGAGTACTCCCCTAAATGACCTAGTACCAAAATTTGATAGCACAAGTAAACCGTTCTACTGACTCCACAGGAAAGTTTCACCTGCATCACAGTAATATTGTCCTCACTCATGTTTGTCTTAAACAATAAAGGCATTTATCTCTTTGTAGTTAAGAACTGCAAAGGTAGGTCATTGTAAAAATCTCTCTAAAACTTTATAAGCAGCATTAATACTGAAAGCTTTAAACTGAGCTTACTGAAAATCTTAATTACTATAAAATCCGTTAAATGACTCCAGGTGAAAGGAAATTAAAATACTAGTTCTAATACATTTGAAAAGCTAGACTTTGCATTAGGATTCTGCAAAAGGAGCTGTACGATACCATTAGTGTGTATCACAGGGCCTTGGAGAGGGAATCTATGAACAGCACAAGTGAGTGTATTTCATACAGTAAATTTAGGAGCCATCAGGTTAGGTTACAGTATAGTTGCAGTCAGTAAGAAAAACTGATATAATTTATTGGACGTGCAGGCTCTTAAGACTTGGATCAAGTAATTATGTATTTTGTTAGCTTATCATCTACCTAGGAAACATCAGTAAACAGAAGGTGTAAGCCAGTAAGTTAACAAGCACCTTTCTTTTAATGCCTGGAGCTGAAAATAATAAAACAATGCTAAATGGAAGAAAGACATTTCAGTATTATGAATAGTATGTTATGTGGATTATAATGTGAAACAGAAGGAATAATTCAAGTCAGAGTAAGGGGTAGGTTTAGACGTTTAAGCTTGTCTTTCGATGCAAGCCATGTTGAAGTAGCAAGTGTGAAAAAAGGCTCAGGGTCACTAAGTCTGCAGGCTTCTCATCAACCAGACAACTGCATTACAAACCAAATCGCTATCTGTCAGGCTGGATCAAGAGCAAGAACATACAGTGGATGTGTCTTATCCAAACGCTGGGTTTTTTTTTTTTTCTTAGCAGTACTGTAAAAATGCCCATAGGCCCTCCTCTCTCCAGATCACGTAGCTGCCTACAAACAACTTCAAAGGAATCTGAAGATGACGGTAGACCTGCTGTTACGGAGAACACATCTCAAGAGCTATGAGGAAACCTCCAAGCACCTGCTTGTGGCTGCTCACCCAGTCACATGACAGGCAATCCCCTCAGTACTAAAACACTGAATTAAAAAGAAGAAAAATCAAAGCTGCAAATTCCAGTGACAGGGGGGATGAGATTTGAAGAGTCAGAAAGGGTGTGATATGAGCAGTTTCAGAGATACCACCAACACTGCTACACTGTGTGTGTTCTGTTAAGAGTTCCAGCAAAGCACTTCGTTTTACTTTCTCATACTAGGACCACACGCTTTAAGATAGCTGTTGGGAATTTCTAAGGTGAAAGGACAAGTTCTCTTCACTTTTCACAATGATGTGACCTTCCTGAAGGATCTTGACCATTGATATTCTGCTGTCCAAGCTATTTGCTTGAATTTAATGATAACCATCAAAGACCATCCTCAGCCGTCTACAAAGGCTGTCCTATTGAAATAGTGGGTCTTTCTTTAGCAGAAAAAGAGAGATTCTCATTGTGACAGTAAACAAACTCACTTGAGGGTGCAATAAATAGCAGTCTGTACATCTCTTCCAGCAAATACAGCTCAAGAAAAACTCAAAGGGTCAAATCTTGTCCACATATCCTTAGGAGGTACCCTCACCATGAGACTCATCTATGCAGAGGCTCAGCTGAAGGTTGAGTGAAACACCTAACCTATACCAAATATGAAAAGGTCTAAAATTAGAGGCAGGATTCAAGGATTCTGTGCTAAAAGTTGCCAGTGAATACCAAAACACCCCATGGCTAGTGCTTAACTTGGAAGTATCATCTCACACTTTGTGGACTAGGAGGACCAAGTATTTTGTGACTGAGACCATCACAGCAAGGTTGACGACAGAATATCTGCTGTCTTGGAGTACATGGATCTGAGAACACTGTTCTTCAATGCTGATCCATGACCTGCTGGCTTGAAAAAGCTCAGCTCACCTTGCTTGCATGTTCCGAGCCCTGGCCAGAGGTGGTAGCCATAGCTTTGGTAATAAGTATTCAAACTCCATCGCATCAACCAGGTTACTGCCTCACATACATAAGAAGGCAATCTTACCATCCTGCCTCTTGAGATAGGAGGTGATGGAGCTATTGTCCATCTTTGTCTGTATGTGACAGCTTCATACTGTGAGCAGAAAGCCTGGAACGCTCTTTTCACTGCACTTCAGGTGAATCCTCCAAATTCCAAGCTCTCAGGTCATTAAAATGAACTTCTCCTAACCAAAAAAAGGGGCAGCTTTCACTGTTGGTAGAGATGATGGCACTCGTTTGAGGGGCAGATCTTTATACAGTGATTGCAAAAAATACAGGTATAGGAGAGAAAGAAGAGGGTCAAATCATTCAAAATCCCAAATTAGAGTGCAACAGCTCATCAGGACTTTGTCTCTGGCCTGGAAGTAGTTTTAAACAAATAGTTATTCAAACAAATTGATTTAAAGCTGCAAATTCAAAAAGCTTGAATAAGAGCTATAAGGTCTTTTTTTCAACTCCAAGATCTGCTGTTGCAGAAACTATAGTATCTGGTCTACATTAGGAAGCACAGAGAACGTTGCCATAATCACAGGTCAGCTGCGTTTAAGTCTTTCTCCATGGGCTCCCTATTCTTAAGACAGTACTTCTGCAAATGTGCTAAAGAAGCTCACCTAACTTCTTTTTTTCCTTTTGAGAGGCAGGCTCCTGTGAGCCTTTCTTTGCCTGAGTCTTCAACCCTGGGTAACACGCATATTTCCAATAGTGAACAGATTTATCTGGCTTCCCTGCCACTCCCCATCCTGGAGTTTTTCCAAGTTATCCTTCTTTCCTTTTCAGGGGAAATTTTTCTTTTTTTTCCCCAAAGAGCCAGTTTAAAAGGGGGAAAGGGAGAGACCTCTTCCAAGCAAAAATTAAAAACAACCCCCCCCCACCTCCACAACCAACCACACCCAAACCTAAAACCTAAACAACAAAAAACACAAAACAAAAAAATCCAGACAGGTCTCTAGCAAGAGTATTTGCATAGGCATTTCCTACTGACAGAAGGACAGAGGGTTAATTTCAAGAAAGTTAAATTCTCTACTTCCTTACTGAAAATAAATAATAATTGCTACCAGCATCACTCAAAGAGGGGACTGGTTCATGGTTCTTAACCTGAAGCATGCTGATTTTCAGTCCAAGAGTCACTGGATTGCAAAGAAAAAAAAAGTTTTTGATTAGTGGGGAAGGTAGAACAGTATAAGAGTCTGCAGTTTTGTCTCTAAAGCCAGGAGCTGTCACTTGGCAGTGGTGGCTGTGCCCCTCAGGTGGAAAAAAATACACTTTATGAGTTAGCAGTGGACAAATGTCAGAGTCCTTTAATTACTAAGTTTTATTCTGTTCTTTCAATTTGGCTCCTGGAAAATATCAAACCTTTCCATCACATTTCTTCCCTTCTAATTTGAGTTGCATTACAAATGAAAAGTAGTTACAGTAGCTAAGATACTGCTATATCAGACTTCTCACTTCTGAGGAATATCTGTTTCTCATTTGATACTACAGGAAAGTATGCAAATGGTACAAAATCTGATGGTTGTCATCTTGTAGCTTCTGGGCTTTCCTTGTACATCTTTTATTCTTAAACAATTATTTTCAAACATAGCTCTTTTCTGTTTACACAGGAAAGAAAACATTCAAAGAAAGAAACTGCACTCACCACTTCCTCTTCCCAGCAAACCAAAATTAAACTGCTTGTTAACTGCTGCAAAATTTTAAAGAGAGGCAGTATATTTTTTCTGAATTTGTAAGTACTTGATTTAACAGTAGACTGTTCAAACAAATACTGGCTATTTAAAAATTGATAATGTGGCAAAAATAACTGAGTTTTTACATTAAAACGTTTGTTTCAGTATCTGTGGTGGCTGGCTAATAGTAACAATGTCACCAGCTTTAAAAATGGGAAGAAGTTTGAGCTCATTAATATTAATGTTTTCTGTCTACTCAGACACAAGTTTATTAAAGTTCTGTGTAACTTAAAAGTCTCCAAAAATCCCCACATCAGAACAATACAGTAACAATATACAAAAAAATTGAATTAATAAGAATTAAAAAATAAATTTTTAATTAAAAGTTAAAAATTAAGAAGAAAAAAGCCTGATGCTAGTTTCTTTTCCCTCCACCAAAAATAACAGTACTAAAAAGCTAACACTAGAAAGAAAGAGTCTGAAATGAAATCTTAAATACCTATGGTATTTTACTGAAGTTTTCATTGCTTTGAAGCAAAAATGTGAAGTCTTGAAAACATGCACAATCCATAAGTACCAAACTGTGGAAAAAAAATGGTTTTGTTTCCTTTAATAAAAGCAAGACTTAAAAATAAGTCTTACAATAATATGCAATTCAAATGGTCATGTATATGCATATATTACACACTGTAATCAGCAAACATATTTATAAGGAGCAGAAAGCAGATTTTGCTAGAGAAGTACTGTAAATTCAGGTCACAACTTATCTTCTCCTTTTCACATTAGGATCATATCTGTAAGGAAAAAAAGTCATAAATAAGCAAAGCCCCATGATATTCAAAGTTAAGAATATGATACAAGTAGTTTTATTAGGCATTCACAATAGGGATTGGATGGTGTTCAATTCTTTCCTGGACTGCACATCTTTGATTAACTATGTAGCTGGCCTTGGCCTGAAGGGTGCAGAAGCTAGAACCTGTGCATGAACCAAAGAGAACTTCAGCTAAAGCAAACTTGCATCAACTTCCTAGTTACTTAAAACCTAAAAAACTACTTGGTGCATGAACAAACTTCTCCAAATTTGCAACGTCTCAACATAAGTTCCTTATTTAAGGGGGTGGGAAGGGCGGGCGCAGCAAGGCAATTACTCGCAGCGGTGTGTAACATTCAGCCGTGACTCTTTCAGAAAACCCTTCTGCTGTCGCTCCCATAAAGCATTTCCTTGCCCTTCCTTCTCCTTTACACTGCTTCCAATTGCTTTTTAGTTACTTACAGCTACTTTCTGGACACTAAATATTTATCTGATTTACTTCAACACGTTTATAGTTTGAATCTACACTGCTATCCCTTGGCCTTCTCTCTCTACGTTTGTGCATCACCGTCCTCCCCCACCTCGCCCTGCCGATCCAGCGTCCCTTTGAAATCCTGGTGTGCTTTGTATTCACACATGAATACCTTACACACACACAACTGAATGATCCGGCAGCTTTACTTCCACTAATTCTGATCTCATTCATCAAACTTTTTTTTTTTTTTTGCTTAGACAGGAAAATGTCGTAACTTGTGAGCCAAATTACATCACCACTTAATGAGAAAGGTATTAGAAGTCACTGTATCGTTAACTACAAGCTATTAACGCACTACAGTTTTCTGAATGGTTCTTAAATGTTGACATAGGGTATCATCTCTCTTTAATAGTGATTCTGACAAATGCATTCTTCATCATCATACATGTTTTTCTACTGAAATGCACATTTTTTAGCATGTTAGCCAAACATATGGGAGGTCAAAAGTCACACAATGGTGGCTTGTTTCTTCACATATAAAGACTAAAGAAACTTAAACCTTTTTCTAACCAAAACAACATCCTTTTACTCAGTCTGAGAGCATTTTGACTTTACTGCTAAAGCTTTGTAACAAATCAGTTCTAGCATTTAAGAGAGCGTCCTGGACAGCAAATTGTACTTTTGTGGAGAGAAGAGGGAAAAAAATTGTAATAACAAAAAAGATCAGACAAACAGAAGGGAGAAGGGGATGGCACATGAAACCCTGCCATCAGTGCACCCACAGCTTCAACCCTGTCTGCGACTGTCTATGGAGAACAGACACTGGCAGTCCTGAATATCATTCTGTGCAATCCTCCATCTCACCCCCATCAACCATTTTCCTTGTTAAATGAATCCTGGATGATGTTTTCCAGACAGAAAGAAATCAAACATTATGTGAGAAAGGAAACTGTACATTGTCTATGGCCTGAAAGGGGAAGAGGAGCACAGATTCCACTACTGTGACTGAATGCACAGAGAAACAAAAGAGCTTGCTAGGAACAGGGAAGGACGAATACAAAGGGCTATTACTGAGCATTGATTTAGATCTGATCTATACTCTTATCAGGAAGTACGATATGCCTTCGTAGCCTCCTCTGTCCTAGCACGTACTGTACTGAGTTAGCAGCAATTGAGGGTATGGCTTTTCCTTCCAACTCATCTTTCCCTCTGAGCGCTGCGCATGTGCTTCTGGGTTCACCTTCAAATGCAGTTTTCATGGGAAACTGTAACCTAATTTTGTCCCTAATCCTGAGTGATATCACTGAGCGTAACGCTAGCTTAATGAGTGCAGTCTGCTGAACATTGATCTGTGTGTTTTAACATTTTTGGCTGTAGAAACCTCTATACACGTAACTATCCTAAACAAACTGGAGTTGAGGTGAAAAGCTTTTCTTTTTTTTTTTTCCTGAGGTAAAAAGCATGAATGTGTATGACTTGCTTAAATTTCCACTGCTGTGTTTTGAAAGTCTAGAACTAATCAAAATATTTTGAACTAGTTGATATCCTAGACTAGCACTGCAATCAAACTGCACAATGTTTTTATAAATGTTTTCCTAACTGTCATATATTTCAATGCTGTACTTCAGAGGTAAAAGCTCAATAAAGTAGCAAACTCAGCTTAGAACATTTTTTTTAATCAGAGAATGGTTATAAATCATTAAAACAGGATTACAGTTGCAAAGAACTGGACAAGAAATCAACTGAATAGGATTATTCAGGATGAAAGAGAGATCAGGAAAAGTGGGTTAACTGAAGTGTGCGTTACTGAAGGAAAATTGGTGAAAGTCTATAGTTTAGAGATGAATACTGTAAAGAATTATGGCAAATAGAAGTATCTCAGGGGAAACCTGGACCTACCAAAAGAAGCACACACACTCCTGTGACCTCAGTACTGACTAAAACAGGACTGACGACTTACTCTAGTGCACTATCAAAAGAAAACCAAACTGCTAAACATAGCATCATGGGTGTAAAAATGCCACCTTTCCTAAGTCTGAAGACTGGAAAGAGGGTAAGGCATTCAGGGAGTTTCTAACAAAAACAGATAGGATCTTTTTTATTGGGAATGGCTTTGAAAGCAGCTTAAGAAGCACTCTTAAGATAAGGACAACACAGGGGCTATACTGAGGAATTTGAGATTTAAAAAAAAATTCTTTGTTTTAAATTCTGGAAATGGGAGTCATTAGCTCAGCCAGAGACCTTAGCAGAAAATAAAGCAGTCCTGCTAATAACGTTTTCATAGAACTATTTCTGTGTTGCTTTAGCTCCCTCCAGTGACTCCGCAGAGAGATAGACAAGTGCCACAGCCAGCATAAAGGAAGCGTCAGGCCCCAAAACTTTTTGGTTGGACTAGAAGTTTAGGAGATTGTCTTAGCTATAACATCAAACCCCTTCATCAGGCTCTGGCAAACACTGATGGCAGAAACCCTGGCCCTAGAATCTCTTCCAGCTTATGTAAACAATCAAGCTTGTGAATGTGAGCTAGGACACAGCAGTATTTTTTTTGAGAATACTTTCTTTAGAAATTTGTAGCAAGTCTGAATGAAACTGGAAATTTAAGACATAAAAAACAGAGAAGATGATGAAAGTCAGTATGAGTATATTCACGACTTGGGAGTATAAGGAATTTTGAGGAGAATAGCCAAAGAGTATTCTATTACAAAACAGGAATTTGTTCAAAGATGATGTGATGTAAAATACACACCTCTAACTACAAACAAAACTCTTACCTAAAGAGATCATCAGCAAGTGATTCTTCTCTTGCATGTCGATTTTGTTCCTGACAAAATGAGAATATTCAATATTTGACATTAACGATGAGGCTAATGAACAGTACAGACAAATAATATACTCCAGGGCTAGCATCGGTTTCCTCTATAAATAGCTTTTTTCCAACTACCCCCTTCCTTGTATATTCATGGTGGATAATATACTTCACTACGCCAACCTGGCCTCTGTTACACAAACTGATCTATTAGATGGTAAGTTATTAAGTTTTCATCAGAAGTACGTTTTTTGTTTTTTAAGCATATTTCAGAAATGACCGCATGTTGGTGTGACCACTTGACAGGTGTCAAGTCTTGTTTTATTCATCTTTAAGAAAGAATTTCTTACCTCCATTTCTTGCCTTAACCAGTCTTCCAGCTCTGAATTCTTTTTAGCATGGTGAGCAATCAAATCTGATCCTCCAATAATATTTGGAAGTTGTCCTGCCCCTGGATAAGCTACCTGTTTGACAATAAATGCTTACAATTACAACACAAGGCAAGCACATTGGAAGTAAATGATCTGTTTTAATGAATTCAGAAAGTCTACTGAGATATCATGAAAGAAAGTCTTTCTTTCTTTCTTGGAATAAAATTCATCACATATGGTATTTAAACAAGACTGAAGTGAAAAAAGTATTTACGGCAAACTATTAACTGCCTCCTTTTACAACAACAACAACAAAAAAACTCAAAAAAATCAAAATAGCTGACAAGTTACATTTGCTAAATAAATACTGTAGTACATTAAATGAAGTTTTAAAACATTAGAAGTTGATATTTACTAATACTTACATCAGAATGGATGAGTAACTACTACAAAAAGGTGGGAAATAAAAGGTTAAGGTTTATTCAGAAGTTTAAAGTGTCATCTGAAAGTGACAGCATACTCCTAGAAAGCTTAAAATTGCACTATTTGACTGATACTCTCTGATTTTTTTTTAAATTGAAATACATTTTTAGTAATCTTACGCTGTACCGTATTATTTCTCTAATATGAGCTTAAGTGGTATTTTTGTTCACACTGACCACCAAAGGATTTTCTAAAAGTTAGCTTGAAGGGCCAAGTAAGCAATAATCTTTCTTTCATAAGATGCCAATTTTTAGTATTATTTAGAAATCCTGTGTTTATTAGATAAAATGCAACACTTGGATTCATCATATGCTCCGTGTAGGTCTTCTGCAAAATAAAACGCTGAGCTTTTGGAGGCACAACTTGAACTTACAATTCTAGTCTAGCTTATGATACGCACCACTTAAGGACTTATTCCAAGTAATAAACTTGGAATAAAAGAGCACAAGTACATGGATCATCTAACATGAGGTAAGCTTTTGTCAGCCTGGTACTTTTCTATCAGTTAGCAAAATATTGGCTCATAATGTAACCTGCTATTTAAAGTGCTTTTTTCTATAGTTACTATCAAATTTTTAAAACATTGCATAATTAGTTTCTACATTAAGGTAGTGCTTTAAAATATTTAAAACAGTGCCACCTTGTGACCATTTCAATATGCACTAACCTTTTTGAACATCTTGAAATTTTTCTGCCCCCCATAACTGGTATTTGCAATGAGCTGACTGTTTAGTCTTGGATGGCTGACCACCAGTGATCTAAACTCAGTCAACAGAAGTCTGCTAGGAAGATTACTGGAGTCATCTTGAAGTTTGCTGTGGTTCTTGGGTGGGAAGAAAAAGGTTTAAATTCTAACAATATAAACTTTAGAAGAGAGAAGAGACAGTGAACACAGCTGAGGTAAAAATGAGGATTACAGAAGGGCGTGGGGAAGCAGCAACAATGCTAGGAGTGCAGAAGATGGATGTACTCCTAGGCCTCCTTTTATACTACCATTAGTGCTGGCAGCTCTGTGAACTTATTTCTCTCATATATACATCTGCCAAAGAAACAGGATTATTAAAAACTGCAGTAATAAGCACAGTGTCAAGGCTCTTCATTTAACTAGGATTTTACTTCAGCAAAAAACTCGATGTAAAAAAGGAACACCTTTTTTGCAATTAAGCTATTATCTAGGCGTTATTTCTCTCTTCCTTCCCTTCACCCCACCTCCTACTTGGACTAATTACATTAAGATCGCTTACTCAACTCTATTTGACTCCAAGGTCGAACAACTTCAGCTCAATTCCAGATGACAGATTTAGTTTAGACTATAAACTATAGCATACATTAGTATAGTCTTATAATATATAATAAAATACTGAAGTATAGCCTTACAATAAACGTAAGATTTAGTACAGTCCAAACAACTTTTTGCCTGTTAAGCTGAAGCTGATCAATGAAGCAGTTTTATGTGGCATGGGAATGCTCCTAAGTCAGCCAGTATGTATGTCCACTTTGCTCTTGGAGGCTCCATCTACATGGAGTAGCACAGGACAGGTACACAACTGCAGTTAAACTATCTTTTACTTGAAACAGTTCCAGCACAGAAGCAGTACAGCTAGTCAACAACAAAGTACAAACTAACAGTCCCATAATCTGAGCTGACTCTGCACTTCGGTTTACCTGCACAGCATCTCCCCTTCCTGGATTGTTCTCCTTACACGCATGAAAGGGTTTATCCTGCCCCTTGTTGACTGGCTACACAGTCTCCTTTCAAAACCTTTCCATTTCAGTTTCATTTCACCGCCTCTTTTCCTCTGCCTGACTGTCATTCCCAGCTATGCTCCCCTCTTTTCTTCATTCATCCTCTAGTCATCTCATCTATAACACACAGTTAGCCAGCTATTTACTGTTAATGAGTGTACGTTATATCCATTATCCCAGCGATCCATCTCTTCCACTCTAGCTGTGATCTCTTTAGAGCAGACAAGAAGATCCCATTCTTGTCTGGTCTTTAAGTAGCTACCTAACAAAAACACCAGTACCCGTATTAACCACATTGAAGATTTAATAGAATTACACTAGGTTTCTGTAGTTCCAGTCATCTTAACTACCCAAAGTGAACATCATCACATGAATGTGTAGAAGAACTACAGTTCTCCATGTCTTAGACAGCTAAGAAATTAGACTGTACTATTAAAACTTACACAGGCTTATTTCAAGGAGTATGATCTTTAGATCCTCCTTTACCCTGAAATACAGTCCCCAAATGTTATGTTTTTTAAAAGCAAAATTTAGATGTGTTTTGTTAACACCTCTCAAGACTGTTCAAAGTTACAACCGACTGGTTCCTTACCAAGACTGGCAACTCTTGCTTGATCTCCTTTTTCTTTTCTGAAGTTGGAACTGATCCAAGTTCATCTTCTTTCTATATGACAAAATATTATTAAAAAACATTTCTGAAATTAAATGTAAATTGTGACTACATAAGTACATGAGACTGCTTTCTGCTCCTTCCAATGGATTAAGCATTTTCAAACAGATATAAATATTTAGACAGTAACAAAAGCGATTGTATTGTATTTTTAAAATTATATGGGTTTAGGTACACTTTAGCTTTTTTTTTTTTTCCTGTTAAAACACACAGTTATTTGCTCACATGTTTTTGTCTTACACAGGCAGCAAAAGCTCTGTCCATGGCTACAACCTTCAAAGTCCCGTCAGGTTCCAAAAAATACTGTAAGCGCTTCCAAATACAAATAGCAGCATTTTCAATTTCATATGTTAAATGCACATATGCCCAAAAGGACATTTTTTTACTAGGACAGGAAAGCATTCTGCAGGTGCCTTTCCTCCCATAATTTAAAATCAAGCTTATATTTCCTAAATTACTTTCAGTGGTTGAAATGATCAGATGAGCTTTATGCACCCTCTAGACTGAGTCATTTACCCCCACGCTCTGTCATGCCAGACAAGCAAGGTGCACCTATACTTGAAGAAAACGGGATATGTAATTATTCCTATGGAGCTTTATCAGGAAATCTCCTTGCCTATTCCACCGGAAATATAATTCATCTGACAAAATAAATCTTTATTAATTGAACTGGTTTAAATACCGTACAGGATCAATAATGCTATTAGAAGACTTTTTCCTCAGGGGAAAAAAAAACTTTTAAGTATGCATAGCTAATTGCTGGGGGGGTGGGGGGGTGTTAGACGTAAGGATTTGTTTTCCTTTATAATCCTGACAAGAACTTACACCAGGAAAACACTAGGAAAACTTTCTCTGACCATAATAAAAGTCATTAGATGATCCAGGCAGCCATTTCAGACCCTGAGGACAATCAGGCCTCTTCGAGAATACTTCTTCTGATACCGTAAAGAGGAAGAATCAAAGAGATTCTCTACAATGATAAGATAAAACTTACCTGTCATCAACATCAAAAATTATTAGAAAGTTCATTAGTGTTTGTTTCTAAAGACTGTTCCCGAGACCTACACCGCAGTATTCACTCTCCATACAGCCACGTGCCTTTATGCTCAGGCACACAAAACCACCGCAGCTTAACAGGTCCCCTCCACAGCTCAGCTCATGCAACCGGCTGCCCCAGATTCACACCCAGCCAGAAGCAAGCCCCAGTCAAGTATCAACAGAGGAGCACTCGGCTGCTCTGAGCGAAGCACGCGCAGACAGTCACTGACGCTCTCCTCATCCAAGGGGAGCAAACGCCACGGACTCGGTCATACATTCACACTTTTAGAAATTTCAAATGTTTACGTTCAGCAATATGGCGACTTTAAGAAAGCTCTTACTGTATGATGCGGCAAGTTATCCAAAGCAAAGCAAAGCAAAGCGAAGATACCCCGTTAGGATTACAGCACGTAAATACTGCAGCACGTAAACACTGCCTATGCTACACAACAATTGCCTGGACAGCAAGCTCGTTTTGTGCGTGTTTTAAATAAACAGCAATTAAACCTGCTCCTCTCTTATTCCCTTCTTTGTTCTTAACAAGCTACTTTGTTATGGCTCTCCTTGTCTTCCCCAAACCAGTTTTGGGGGATTTTTTTTTCCTATTTAAATAATGTGGCTACTTGTTAATTCCACAGCTGTCCTTCTCTTGGTTTCTCCTAGGACACTACCTAATTCTTAAGAACACACAAACAAGCAAAGGGAAAAAAAAATCAAAAACAAAAAACAAGAAAGCTAATCACAAGCTCCTTCGTGACTGGAAAAAAATATGCAACAGCTCTTTTCCTCTTTAGTCTCTCTCTTTCCCCAATTTGTTTTAAGCTATTTAAGTCCAGTTTTACTATTTACATACCGATGAACATGAAATCAGAATACGTAAGGTACGTTAAAGCTGTGCAAATCTAAAGCGTAAAATTTTGGCACTTCCGCATTCGACGTTCAGCATCTGGTTACAGCATACTAACACGAGTCGAATTTTGCTGCCAGGCTCTTGGCTTTTGCAAGTGGCATGTTTTCAAAACTTCAGAACTCCTCTCTGGAACAGCTACTTGGTTAGTTAGCAATGTCAGTCAGTTACTTTACTGTTGTGCGTGCAAGTGCAGTCCACTCAGAGTGTCAGTCCAAAGCCTAATGTACAGAGACACTCTATAAAAGAATATGTTACAAAGTAAAAAATAATTTAAAAGAAAATCCTTCCAAAAATAGAGTTTTACTAAGAATGAATTCCGTCGTCAGCGAAACCTACTTCCAAAGGAGAAAACCAAAACAAAAACTCGCAAGATCCACATATATTGGATCCAGGTGTATCAATTATCAGTTTAACTCCACTGTAGCAGCTTTGTTAAAATAAACTGCCATATTCAAATAAAAGTTTCAATTATTTCAAAAACAATAGTTTTCACTACTATAAGGGATTTCTAGATACTGAAATAATACAAACAGTCCAAGAAAAAAAAAAAAAAAAACCTTCTTCCAGGACTAAGTACAATTGTGTTTCATACCTGGATGATTTGCACCTATTTTGACCTGACAGGAAACCTTCCATCTTTTTAGTTTGTTTGCTTAAGATTGAAAACACATTCTTTCTCAAAAGCTTACCAGACTTTTTGTATATGCAGTTTAGTGGTATTGTTTGTTTGTTTGTTTTTTAAACAAAGGATATAAAAGATTCTTAAGATTGCTGCCTAAAGGGAATTCAAATCATTAATGTGGCACATCCAGAGATTCTCTGACCGGAAAGATGTTGGACACCACTACAGTATCCAATACAAGAAACTTCCAGTAAATTTAAGAAAGGTTATTTAAGTAAAAATAATTATACTTTAAAAATATTTTAAATTCTTGGACTAGAGTGATATTCTGCTGTTCTACTTCTACTACTTTGAGCAAAAAGATAAGAAAAGTATCAGAATACAAGCAGCTTTCAATTCACAAAGAAACCATGTCCTGAAGAATGAAAAGAACCATACTTAGACACGTGCAACACTGCACGGTTCACAGCTAGTATCTACGTTACAACCGTTTCTAGTTTAGAATGATTTGAGAGGTTTAAGCAAAAAAAAGCTTTACAAACAGCTTTCTGTGTGCAGAAACCCTCATCTTTAAAACAGCTATTTGCATCCTTCTAACAAAGCTCTAACTTCTGAGGTCAGGCACGCCTGAGTAAATAACTTACCCGTATTTCACTCTCCTCTCCTTGCATTACCTTTACTTCTTGAATTCTGCTTCCTTTGGCTTCCAAAGATCT